GAAAATGAAGGAAGTTGTGCCAGGGATAAATTCTTCAACAAGTAATCGGGACGATTCCGAGTGAGATACATGTTCAGCTTGCTTAGCAACAAATATCTTATGTATTCACAGTTATTTTTGCGGAATTTGGCCTGATGTGATTGACTCTTTTTGTTCCTAAAATTTTGCAGTTGAAATTTTTATAATTACCAGTTTACCGACCTTGAAATTTTTATAATTTCTACTCGGCCGACCTTTTTCGAATTTTATCGAAAAATGGCTAGTTTCAGAATTTTATCCATCAGCAAGTGATGAGGATTGGGATGTAATCGTGATTGGATCCGGACTGTCCGGATTGACTGTTGCAAAAGTTTTGGCAGCATCGGGACGGAAGGTATTGGTACTGGAGCAACATGACCGTGCTGGTGGCTCTTGTCACACTTTTGAGCTGGATAAATATGAATTCGACGTTGGTTTGTTTTTATGCCTTATATCGGCTGTTCGTGCATCTTACAAATCTTCTGGGCCAACGACAAATTCTTAACACTTTTTGTATCAAAAAAGGCGAAAAATCTAAAAAAAAATCGGGCAAAAAAGTGTACGAATGCTCTAAAGAAAATTGAAGTCCGATATTGAGTTGGTTGGGATTAAGACTAAATCCAAATCTACTTGGTGGGACTTTTCCGCAGCGAACGTAAAGTTCAGTCCAGAAATGTTTGTCCGATTAAAGAATTCTGTAGCATAAATCTGGTGAGAAATAGGAAAAAGCGATTGTGGCCGACTGAATACCGTTCGATTAGAATGATACTTTTTAAATAGGTCGAGAAGCGGTCAGCCGGTTGGGATTTCTTTGCTGAGAAGAACGTAAAGCTCAACCCCAAAATGCTTCGTTTATCTGAGTATAAAGTTTTCTCGTATACAATTAGTGAAAAAATAGGAAAAAGCGTTCATGACCGGCTCGACACCGTTTTACCAGAATGGCACTTTGCAAATGTTTCGAGAAACGGCCACAAGACGGAAAAATGCCAACAAATTTGTGGTATAACAAGCCGAAGAAGCTGATTGAAAACGATTTAGTAATACGTTGGAATTTCCACTTTTAAAGTCCCAAGCATGCCGCATTTTTTTCGAATTCATTTAAAATCGAGTTTTTGGGTCATCACAAAAATATCGAGTGACGTAAAGCGTCTTAGATCAAAAATGGCTTTTGCGATAAAAGGACACTGAATAGAATCATTTTACATGAAAATTTGCCGTTTAATCCGTTCTCGCTTGTCTTCGGCGCTGTTCGCCCTCGTCTTCTTGGCATTTGTCCTGAAAAAGCTACTCCCGTAAAATCACGTTTGGCTATTTTCGTGGGTGCAGAGAAGTTCCACATGTTAATTCGGTATCCTGGCAAAGTTTTGATTCCAAATTTCCATCAACTTTGCACTTTTAGGCTTGCATTATGTCCAGGAAATGTGCCCAGGCAAGCAGTTGTACTGCATTTGT